TCATCAGATTCTGGCCATGTGTTGCATTGTGTTTGCAGGGTGTGGAGTTCAAGCTGGAGATTAAAAATCTGGCACTGTCAGATTCAAAAGGCCACGATCTAGAGAAAGACATCGTTGTCAGAGTCACCTCCAAGGGAACCAAGCAGACCAAGCAGGTTGGTCTGTCCCTGTATGGGGTGTTTTGTCACTTGTGTAAACTGCAGCGTCACTTTGAAAGATTACAATCTTTGCATGCACTCTGCAGGTCTGGATGTGGTCCAAAGCCAAGTTTATTAACCGCAAGTTTCTGATGGAAGAGGTTTACCAGCAGCATTTGGCAGAGCAGAGCGGAGACAATGTATGTTAGCTGAAAGAACAATGTTGATGTTTGTTGGCTTGTGTTTGCCTTTACATCTCTGCAGATGTTTAAGCTAAATAAAACATGTGCATATTCGCTATATTGACATCACATATTGTTAGGATGGTCAGCACTTCCTAAAGCATAAACCTTTCCAGACCAGTAACTCTATTATTAAGACTTTTATGTTTTTAGGAAGTAGCCGAGCTGTCAACAGTAACATTACCCAGAGATAAAGACCCATTCTGGGATCCAATTGAGCCTCTTCTCCTGGGCACTGCCCACCTTTGGCTCCAATCGTTGGCCTTCCGCATCCCCCTGGAAGAGCAGCTAGAGGTACAAACTGATATGCTCCATACACACTGGCATCTTCATCTAAAAGTATTTTCAGATGACAGTTAAATAAAGTCAGTGGGTGATGATCCCGGTCTGCAGGTGTTGGGGTCAGAGGGCACAGAGGAAGGCATTCTACAAACACAGCTGGTCCCCTGCTCTTCAACTGGACTGTATGTCACACATGCACAGACACACAAACCTTCAGTGCACAGGTATATCAGTAACTAGACGTTCGCACTTCCCAGCCCTCTGGGTGAGGATGACATCCTGATTGACCCATCAGAGATACTGGGTAGACGACTAGACTTCCAGCTGGTCCTGGATCAGTGTTGTGGCTTACGCTGGATCAGAGAGGCCCGCAATCGAGGTGTTCAAATTGGGTAAGGCACATGTGGCTCGGTGTAGAGTACACTGCATTAAATCCTATTGAACTTGGAGATGGAAACCTGGTATATATTTACTGGCACATAGAGGAAGCTGTTAATAATTTTAGCTTTTGAAAAGGTACCGTGGACTCAAGCGTGAAGTCTCCAGTCATGTCGTCTTCTAAAAGAAGAGAGTTGTGAAATGCTTTCTTCTCTCCGACATTACTTAATCTCCTTACTCTGTTAGTTTCAGGTTATTTGACTGCAGCCAGCCTCTGTACACTCCAGCTGTTTGGCACAACGTGAATCCTCTGCTGGATCACAGAGTCCACTTTGCCTCCCTCCACACCTCCCAGCGTCTGCTAGACTTCCTGCAGAGCAGCGCTGTGGTGCTGGAGCTCTGGGGCCTTCAAGGTGAGGATGGACATTTTTTTTTTTTTTATGCCTGAAGTAAGTGAACTCAGTGATAGCTATTATAACAACAAGACATGCTTAATTTTTTTTAATGAACCGAGTGGGATTTAAACATTTAAACTGGATTTTAATTTCATCGTGTGTACATTATACATCACATTATTAAATTTCTCATGCAGATTTAAGAAAAGACACAGCTGAAATAGAAAGTTTCTTTAAAGATTGCTGCTCAGTGCTTGTTTTCTATCCCAGAGGGCTGCACTCAGTTGAAGTCTTCACTGGAAGGTGTGCGGATGACTGCAGATGGCATCTTCATCATTGATGAGTCGAGTCCAACAGAAAACACAGTGAGTTAGACGTTTAGGAGTAATTGTTTACGTTGACATGAGTTATTTATTGTCTTATTTATTCAGTGTGTGTTTTATCACAGCCTGTAGACCCCTCAGACCTCAGTTGTTCAGTAAGAGCTCTTCAGCAGGACTTAGATGAACTAAAGAGTGTTAATGAATCACTGAGGAAAGAGAATCACAATCTGAGGGAACAACTCAACACAGCCAGGAATGGTAACTAAAACATACACGAGTTTGTGGTTTCTATTCCAAAGAACTGAAAAAACTACCACACATATGACTTTGGAAGCTTTTGACTTGTTCTTTTAGAAACACACACACACACACACACACACACACACACACACACACACATTTCTCTCTTCTGGTTTTAGGTGGCGAGGGTGCGCGTAGTCGCTCGGTGCGTCCCAGCTGTGATGCAGAGTTTGCCCGCGCTCTGAAGGTTTTCTATCACAGCATGACTTCAGTAAGAGGTCAGCTGCAGCGCCTGCGCAGACACAGGCCCAGCGTACGTATTCACGTGTTATCTTCTGTCTTAGCATGAGTTTGTGTTACTACAATGTGGACATGCTTAAAATCCTTAAAATAGTGAATCAGCACAGAATGAAATATTGACCTGTTTCCATGATGCTGTTTCATCACATTATTAGCTCCAAGAGTGAACAATTTTTAGAAAATTACATCTGTGCTGTAGTTATTTAGCTTATGTCTCCAATAGATGCATGATAACTGAAGCACTGTGAAGGATCTGCAAGTGTTATTGTTGTGAAAACTGTTTAAGGTCTGGCCAAAAGAATTATTGACTTTAAACATTAGGAATATGGTTCCGAGAACGGGAGCTGATGTTATAGCAATTTACCAAAACGTCTGATAAATTGCACTTGAACAGATTGAATCCTGCCCATGGATATAACACTCCTGTTTGCACATCATGCAGGATGTTAATGTGCGTGCTTTCCAGGAGGAGTCAGACCTGCTGGGGCTCAGACTGTTTGTGGATGAGCAGAGTCATTTGCTGAGAGACTTCTCGGAGCAGCTGGAACAGAGCGTCTCTACACTCAAACAAGATGTGGCCGCAATCGTCCGCCGGAAACGAGAACGATCAGGAATCTGGTCTTGACCAGGGTTTTTATTTTTTAGGAAAGTATACATTTATGTTGACACTTTAATTTCGCAACTCTGCAGATATTCCGGTTGAGGGTATGAAATGAGCAGAACCAGGTTCTTACAAACTAAATTCTTTGTTTGGGTAAATAAACATGACGAGGATCTGTTATGATGTTCCTCATTTTCTGTCATATACACTTTTCAAATGGTACATGCTTGTGTTAAAGCTGGAAAAGCCATTGAGATAATGAGGTACCTGAGAGCCAAAACCTCAGAATTCAGTTTTTTCTACTCTTAGCTCTGAAGGATGTCACCGAGAGCAGATATCCCTAATATCTAATATCTGAGGCACAGCAGCTCCACTCACTTGTTTTAACAGTCAAATAAACTGAGGGGCTGCAAGCGCTCAGTGAAATCAAAAGGGGCTGTTTTGAAATATAAATCATGAAAAGCTACTCTAATGAGTTTAAGAATGAGAGCATGGGGTTAGAAATGAGGCCTAACAGATTAGAATTAGTTCCCATTACTGAACACTACATGCACAGTGGACCATGTTCAACACAGTTTATACATAAAAGTATTCCCCATATTTTCTGTAATACTTCCTTCTTACTTTTTGTCTGTAAAATTAAGTTTATTCCGGTGGATTATTATTTTAGTACGCTTGGTTAACAACAATGTATATGCAAGTCTACTATTAAGAGTAACTACAAGTGAGGTCTGTTTAAAAAAAAGTTTATTAGACTGCATGTATAAGACATCGTTACAGTTCCAAACTGCAAATAAATTAAAAGGCAAAGACAGCTCAAGTTTCAAAATTCACAAAATTCTTACACATTTTTTTTAAGCATCATTAAAAATCCATTGTGTTTTCAAGCTAATGTAGTTCACTTTGAAGCTATATCACTGGATGACAGAAATCCTCCTCGTGTCTCACTGTGGGGGATTAATGTTAACGTAAGTGAACAAGAAAAAGACGTCAAACAGCTGAGCAAGATCGTCTCTCCTTATGTTGAGTTTATGACATATTTACGACAGCGTCTCTCACTGCAACGTCTAATTTGGAGGTAAAAAGCACAACGGTTGATGTTTGTAAGCAGTCACGACTTGTAAGAGTACAGACAGTTGCTGTAGGTCCAAAAAAAGATTAGCGTGGGCACATTTACAGGAGGAGGCAGATGTGAGGCAGATTAGTCATCACACAGTACAGAATTTATAAAAAAAAAAATCTATGTACAAGAAATATGCAGGCAGACAAGCTGACAGCACATAGCTGCTCATGAGAAATTTAAAACAAGACAGAGATGAGAGGAGCGAGGCAACGGCGAAAGGCAGAGGATAAGCCTGGCTTCAACTGAAGAGGTAGACTGTGGGATAGACAGACAGTTACAGATATTCTACTGCGAGGAGAGATTAGATTCTTCACAAATAAGCACCACATGTTATTTTTTATCAGAACTGATCATGTTAGGTTTAGGATCAGTATCTTTCCAAAAACAGCACCCAGTAACATGAATGTACAGTTACAGAGAAAGCTGAGGGTCCAGGTGAGGTAGGTTAATCAGGTTTCTAGGATTAGGGACCAAACGGAGCTGCATGAACATGAAACAATATTCATTTCTTTTTGCTCAGAGTAGAAAATAAATGTCAGAGAACATGAAGCACAATGACTGAACATTTCTTTTTCTAATGTTGGACTGTCAGTTGTCTGCACCTCTTTGGGCAAGTTTGAGCCTGAGGAACAGGACTACAGATGATCACAGAAGCATGTACAGGAGCAGTTTTGGTGTTTATATAGTACATTGGTGATTATTGCATTAAAAAAAAAAATCCACTTCCTTCCTAAAGGAAACCCATGTGAAGCACTGCTATCTGTTTCCATTTAAAATTACAGTCCTATCTGTGCAGTCATGGGGTTTGAATGCACATATTTTGTTCTTACCTAACGTCAATCAGCTTTCTTTTTCAGAGGGTAAAAAACACGGGGTTGTATGTTAATCGGATTGTAAAGCCACAGGAGGCATATTTTAGATTTTTACCTGCTATTTAGTTTATTCTTATAAAACACTGAGCATGCATTTGTTGTGTAAATTATTATCTCGCTTGTTTAAAAAGTTGCCTTATCGCTTCTTTGCCAGGTTCAAGTCTCAGTGCAGACAGTTCAGAAGACGGTATAAAAGATGGACGTGGCTTCCAGTTGTGAATGCCTTAAACCTGCAATCTGTTTTACGGTCACCAGGGGGCGACAGCTGTGGTGGCCAAAAAAAAACTTGGGGCTTTCTGAGCTGACCTCTGGAAACACTTTCCTGCTGGGTTTATTGTTTCAGCCACTCATTTGAGATAACGCTGAATAAAAATAACTTGTGATATTATAATAATAATAATAATAATAATGATAACTTGTGATTGACAGGATGTTAGCCAATGAGTGTAGTTTCACGGTCAAACCGGCTTTCTTCCATCACATCCAGTTTCAACAGCAAGATGGCTCATCGAAGCTTCAAGGTGGGACTTCACAAACTAGTGGGTGATTACATGGTAGCTATGTCCATCTTTTATATTGTATATGTCAGTACTAAAATACTTTTTTGGCTGACTTGAAATAAATATCTGTGCATGTAAATAAGAGCACAGATCATCCATTACAGCCATGGCCATATTTTATCACTCTCTGAAACAACCCTTTTACATTCATGGGTGGAAAACGTTTCGTCTTTCAGCTCCCTCCTTCAAGCTCAAGGGGAGAGTTAAAATTTAAAAACACATCACTAGTCATGTCTCCATTTCCCACTTTCACTCACACTCACACACACACACACACACACACACACACACACACACACACACACACACAATGAAGCTTCCAGCAGCAGAAGACAAACTTCACAGTATAAAAATATCTCAAACCACAGAGAGGTCCATAATTTCACATTAGGCCCATTTTTTTTTCCATTTTCTGAAGCCACGCAAAGACAAACATCACTCATTAAGAGCTGCAATCCAGAGCAGTGGAGTCGGCAGTGTTCGGGTATTTAACATTATATTCATATAGGTCCTGAAAGATGATCACCAATATATGGATGATGCCACTATCAACCAGACTGAGAGACACCTTTGTCAGTGTCTGTTTGTTTCCATTGCTAGCTTTCCCTGAATAATGTCTCGAGTGTCACCAAAAGAGGACGGGGATTTATTCCTGTTGGCTCAGCCTGTTGAATCAAGCAGACCAGGTGTAAACTCAAAATAATTCAGTGAGCAAACTGGTCCACCTTACAGCCAAACTCCATCAAAATTTAGAGGAGTCATGGTTACTGCTCACAAACAACCACAGATTACCAACACAGCACTCAGAGACACATTCCCCATCCTCAAAAAAGAAAACAAACAGACTGCTGTGTATCTGCTTCACGTCTCCATCCTTTCACTGATCCAGTGTCTCAGGCGTTGGTGCCTTCGTTCTCAGCCGCTCGGCCGTCACTCGCCGTTGTTCCATGTGTGATGAGGGTAGGTGGGGCCACAGACACGTCTCGCTGGCTGCTGTGCCTCGAGTGGCTGTCTATCTGATGGAGGCTGCTGTGAGTGGAAAGCGGATGGTCGAGACGTGGATTGCTGCCATGGAAACTGCGGTCCTCTGTACCTCGGTAAACCACGGTATCGCTCCTAATGGGGGAGAAGCAATGAAAGAAAAGCTGAGCTTCGACTGATTCACATCATCTGAGAGGAAGCGAGAGCATCGTGGATTTCCTGGTCTACCTGTCATCTCGAGTGCGCCGCAGGCTGCTGTGGTAGCTGGCCTTGCTGTGGACGCTGCTGGCCTTACTCCTGGTGGAGGAGGGGTGCCCGTGGTGAGTTCTAACTGGTTCATCAAGGTCGTCTAGAACAGCTAAGTGGGTGGAGGAGGCGTGTGTGGAAGTGCCCTACAGGAGGAGAGATCAAACACATGTAGCGCTGAAACCGCTGAGATTAAAGATTTAATTTAACACCCGACACCTTTGCACAACGTGTAAATATTCAAATCCAAAATGCTACATCTTGCTCAAGGCTCTGTGTACATTACTCCAGCATAAGACATTCATATCTTTTGGATCTTGACTCAAATCTAATGACAAGATTATGCCTCAGGTTATTACTTTTATTATTATGATAGACACCTAGCCAGGTTCACAGGTGTTGAAAAGCTTCATTGATGATGCGGCTAAATATTATCAATGAAGAAATATGTACATGAAAACACCAGTCTGATTAAACCTTTATCAAAGCTTCTAGATGCTGACAAAAAAACAGGCATACAAGATACGATCTTTCATTTCAGTCTTCTCTTCCTTTCATCAGTTTCAAAAGAGCTCAGAGCCGTAACCTGTGGACATTCATGTTTGGACTTTACTCCCACGGCACTTATAAATAATTCCATCCTGCTTTTTTTTTTTGCTGTTGTCTTTGCAGTCCTACCTGAGTGGATGTCCCTCTGGACTTCCTAACGATGGGGGTGTTGGGCTCACGCAGCAGAGACTGAGCAAAGTCCGGCTGCTCTTGCAGCACCTGGCGAGACTCATTCACCCCACTGCTGCAGAAAGAAAAAGGTGAAGGAGGTCAGAGGTGGGACGTTTTTACAGACAGGGGACAAGTCGCAGATAAAATTGGAACCAAGAGACAGATTGGGGGGGAAGGAGTAGGAAGACATTTAGGATTCAAGAAGAAATACGGGAAAGAGACAAGAAAACAGTTGATAAGGACAGCATAGGGAAGATTAATGATTAATGTGCTGTTGTATAGCAACGTGTCACCACAAAAGGAAATACAGTAGAGATACTAAACCCCTGAACAACTGAGAGGGAAGGAAAATTGCATGTGAAACAAAGTACAAGATACTTCTAAGTGCATAATTAGTTGTGATAAACTCAATTTAGTTCTCTCGAACATTAAAAGACACACAGTCTCTTCTTACTCTTTGCGCCTGCGCCCATGTAGGAAACTGGCCCACTCAAAACAGGTCTTCTTGCTGCCCACCCAGAAAACAGAAGGGATCCCCACCACGAGCATCATCAGATATTTAATTAGGAACAAAACCATGGCCGGTCTGCTGGTCTCCTCAACCTGAAAATAAAATAAAATGCACACGTTAATGATGCAATCATCTAATCAGCACAGCATGGAGTTTTTAAAAACACAGAGTAAAGTGAAGCAGAGGAGAGAGAGGAAGAGAACAAAGGCTTTGATTATAATGTAGGCAGACTAATTGTGCAGTAGATTATTTCCTCGACAACTAAACATGAAAGATATGCTAAAAGCTTTGGATCCACCAACATTTAACAAACTAAAATCCTCAAACATAATCTAGACAAACCGAGCTGTTTGATGGATCTCCCAGCAGAGGGCAGAGATTTGGTTCTTGGTCCTCTTTTTATTGAATATAAATCCCAGATTTTTAAGAAATACAACAAACGGAACGCTGTGTCGTTCAATCCCAAATCATGGTTTCATCTGTCCGATAAAATTTCACTACGGGAAACCATCAAACACACTGAGTACTGTGTTAAAAAGTTTTTGTGGAAAACCATTATATTGTACCCTCACTACAGTGAGGGTAAATTCCATGAGCAGCTGAGCCTTTTAGTGAGATAAGAGATTTATTGTTTTTGAAATCCGGGCCCAGAAGAATTTCCATTTATTAATTAGCTTAAGTCTCTGTCACCCATGCTGAGATGAAATGTGTCTTATTTAGATTATCAGATAAAACGAGAAGCCCTGGGTCCTCAGTAAATTACCACCCGTGAACACACACAAAGAAAGAAACTCAAATGAACTTTGACACCACAAAAGAATCTTCAATTATCCAAGAACAAGCAACTGCGCCCTCTCCCAGAACACACAGAAAACCCCCGGGCAAAGATCACATAACACACAGCAATATTGAAATTCCAGAGCTGTAATAGGACGTAAAGGGGATCTTCATGATCTTCACAAACACACAGACACACTCACACAATTTGACAAGTGATGGAAACAATGACAAAGCCTTATGAAGTAAAGGTGTATATGTGTGTGTGTGTGCACACATCCAACTGACTGACACACAGGTAGGGATGGAGTATGTTTGCGTCTGCACTGTGCACAATTATCTGGTTAATAATTTAGCACTGGACTATATGAATCACTGCATTCCCACCCATCTTCATAAACACGATAAAGCCCTTATGGAGGACTGGCAGCAGACCGTGACTAAGCAGCCCAGGGAGCAGAGGGGCTGAAAGATGCATGAGAAAATTAACTGAAATACAAAGAGAAAAGAAAACGGAGCAAAACAAAGATGGGAGAGGTTGGTTTTTTTTTTGTGGAATTGGTCTTGAGAGCTATATTAGCTGAGCTAATGATGCATGCCGCACTCTGCTCCCCTCCCTCACAAATACCTACTCACTCAGCCGCACACACAACTAAGTGCCAGCTCTTACCCACTCTCAACCAAGCACTCAACATCTTTGGCCAAATCCCAGCTCCCACCCTTGGCCCTTAGGTATCCCATTTCTTTGGGAAATTGAAGGATAGTGGTCATCTAGCCCCCCAAACAAAGCGTGGAGGACCACCTTGCCCTAAGCTGCAGTGAAAAATGGAAGGGGAGAATTGAGATTGGGCCTTTGATCATGAAATAATCCATCTATCCATCCATCTAACGGCTTAACTTAGGGACACGGGGGGCTGGAGCCTATCCCAGCAGTCATCGGAGAAGAGGCAGGGTACATTTTGGACAGGTCGCTAACACAGAGAGACAGGTGACCACAGGGTCTCACATCCACACCTACGGCCAGTTTAGGATCACCAGTTAATGTGACGTGTGTCTCTTTGGAATGTGGGAAGAAGCCCATGTAGGGAGAACATGCCAACTGTACAGTGAAAGGCACCAGCCAATCAGGACATGTGCAGAGAAAGTGCTAACCACTTCACCACAATGCTTTCTTTCATTAAGTAAGCATGGGAGTTCTTGTTGTAGTTCCTAAATGTCTTCCCACTACTGTAATCAATTCTGACGTCACTGGCTACAACAAAGGTAAGAGCTCATCTGAATAAAACCTGGTTAAATTCCAGATACCAATTAAAAATCATCTTCACGTTAAACTAGTAATTGTACATTTTTGTTTTTATTTCTCAGAACCGAGTGGCTAACATAAACTAGCTAAAATGTTGGCTAACCAGAAAAATTATATGATTGGACTTTTTTTTTTAATGAGACTTTGTTTTTCCCTCGTGTTTTCATACATTTCTGGCCTACAGAACATGGCAAGACTTAACTTGTGAAAAAGCTAAAAAACAAAAAAAACCCGTTGAGCTCCATTCTTGAGTAATTGTGTATTCATGTCAGGTCAGATAATCGGAAAAAACAAGTTTCAGACCGAGAAAACAGACATGATTTTCCTTTTTTTTTTTTTTGGCTAAGTGAGTTGCATTTTCTTAAAGTCCGGTAGATAAAAGTAAATAACTTGCTGAAAATAGTTGTAAGAAAAGTTTGATTCATTCCTTTATTGCATATTAGTTATTTTCTAACAGTAACTGCGATGACCCCTGGGTGGTGAATGTGTCTGTGTTTTGTGCTGTGATTTGTTCTACAGGTGCTGATCGAAGTAACTGGCTGTATGAGCTAAACCTGGGCCCAGTGAGCTTGGTTATAAAAGCTCCATCCTTTCAGGTCTCTTTTGCTCACTGCCCTGATTTGAATACTAGCTTCCTGAACTAGATCCACTTAGCTACAGCACGTGTTCTTGGGTTATTTGCCTTCTACAGACTCTGCCACACACTCACTACTGACTAGCTGACAAACATGTTCTTTTTAATTATGTTCCATAAAAAAATGATCCTTTACTAGTTACTACCTGTGAGCCAGGTTGTGAGACAATGCATAGGTGCTCTTCAAATACACCAACTAGTTAAAAAAATGATAATTCTAGAGATAATCTTTGTCAGACAGGTTAAGTAACTATATATCAAAATCAGCTATGAACACTTTATTGTTTGTTTTGCAGTACTTTGCCTTTTCCCGGTCCATGTTGTCCCCTCAGTCTGACTTAAAAAAAGCACACGAACACACTTGAGTTGGTGCGATGACTTCACAACTTGGGAATCCTGACCATTTGAGGAGTGCATGAATGGAAGCTATATTGATGTTAACTCCTTCCACTGGAGAAGTATCTTGTTCACTCATTATTTATGATATGTTTAGTAGTCTTACACTTTTCTTTCCTGAGACACAGACAAGCTCCCTCCCCAATAAGGAAAGAAAAACACAGATTCCTCAAAACAGAGCACCTGCGGATTTTCACCATTCAACTTTGGCAGTATGACAGCACAGACAAACTGTGAGTGACAGAGCTCTGATATTTGTTTGCAGCTGAGAAAACAGGCAGCATGTGCTTTCAGACTGTAGACTACCAGATTTGATTAGCTACTCTGACACTTTTTTTTCTTAAGACAGGCTATCCAAGTATAAAGTTGCAGCACAACAGCTGGCAGCTGTAAAAATGATTTACACATGCACCGTCTTAACAAGCACAGATAGTGTCTAGTAAGAAATGAAACAGTTTGTCTAGTGAGGTTAACACCATCACATCGTGCACTTTCTTATTTTCATCCTTTTACCTTGTATGGGCATGGGATGTGATAACGCCTGCAGTTGTTCTCCATCCATGTTTTCTCCCAGATCTTCCGGTATGTGTGCTCGTATATGTAGCAGCCAATCACAGTGAACAAGGGAGCCAGATACAGCACAGAGAACACTCCCATCCGGATCATGAACTTGACTAGTTTGGTCTGGTTCTCCTTCTCCAGAGGAATTTCCATGCGCACCCTGTTCAGAGCGACAATGCCCACTAAAAGCAGGGAGACGCCAACCTGACAGAAGACAGACAAGAAGTTAAGGCTCAGTGAACCTTTAAAATACTCTTTTAAAGGTTGGGTGACTGACAGGCAGGTCTAAAAGACATTTAATGACCCACCCATCATTACTAACCAATCCATCTCTCCCAATGTTCACACTTGTATTATTTCATACAGTCATTAATCGGTTCACACCACATCCATCCTACTCACCACTTCTTTCATCCACCCACTCACTCATTTATCTCCTGAACTGTACTCACCGCCACATTGACACAGAGCGGTGCCAGAACAAACCACCTCAGGGCGTCTATGTCATACAGCCCTATGAAACACACTCCACTGATCCCATCTCCCTCGATTTTATTCAGGGCCAACAGGGTGACGGTCAGGGCCCCTGGGAGGCCCCAGGCAATCGCATGGAAGAGGAGGGCTTTCTTCTCAATGGCCTCGCTGCCCCATTTAGGCACAGCAGCCAAGAACCAAGTGATTGTCAGTATGACCCACCACACACTGCCGGCCATAGTGAAGAAATACAAAACCATGAAGAACAGGGTGCATGCCTGAGAGAGAAACACAGGAGGAAAAACCTCTGATCAATTAATCATTTGGGAAAGGTCATCAAAACTGTAAATCTGCAACTATAGAGTAGTAAAAAGTAAATTCATGACACGTGTGCGCTCTAAGTCAGTAAATAGATAATTGCACTGTGTAATAAAGATAAAGTAATGAAGTTAATAAGACAGCATTTTTAAAGTGTAGCATAGTTATTTTTATTAATTGCTAAATAAACATCCGTCAACCTCATTATTCAACCACAAAATAAATAATTTAAAATCTAGTTTAGAAGTTTTTAGCCCAGTAAATCATCACTGATGTGCCGACAATTTTAAATCGGGCAGTTTTCTCCCCCAGATTCCATAAAAATGAGCAAAAACCTTATTGTGTGAGCCCTGTGTTATGGTGGATGCTCTGAACTGGGAAGGGCTGACAGGGTTGCACGCGACCCTGCCTTCCAGCAGGAAACCCAGGAAAAACACCAGCGACACCATGACGTAACACACAGCATAGAAGATGATTGGTCGCTCAGGGTACCGAAACCTATCGAGGAAGATAAAAGAAAATGACTTTGTGTCTTTCTCCACTGCAACGATACTAATACTTTCAAAGAAGTTACATTCAGCTTTCCAAACCTTGTAACATCAATCAGGAATGTCAGGAAGGTGAAGAGTGTTGCAGACAGACAAACAATGGAAACGACTCCAATGAAGTATCGGATGAAGGTGAGCTCCTGCTGGTTGAAGAACATTGAGGGGCATGGGGCAGAACAGTCCTTCCTGCCCATAAAAGTGTAACCCAGGTCTGGGTCGACCTTGAGCTCTCTGGGGCACCAGAAACCATAATCTCTTTGGACGGTCATTGATGATTGGTCAGTGGGTTCAGAGCCTGTTAGCAGGTCCTCTAGACGAGGATAGGGCTCGTCACAATCTGGGAACCTGCCCCCCAAAAAGTAAAAGAAATTATATAAAGACAACAGCCTCCACAATGACCTTACGGCTACATCAACACAGCAGTTTCAGGAAAAATATTATAATCTAAATCAAGGTAAGAAATCACTACATAGAGTTATCTAGGTTATGACATTGCTCTAAACCTGTACCCTGTAGCCTATATGCTGTAGACTTAATGCAGGACTATAAATCAAGCATAAGTTTCAGTCACATGTACCTCATCTCAGCAAGTCTAAAATGACAATAAAGCTAAATTATTATTATTATTATTTTTTAAATATAGCAGATTCATACCTGCTGCACTCCATATCATCTGGCCAGGCTACGCCAAAAATTTCCATGAGTTTGTGGCACTCATCCTTGGCCCGCTGGCAAAGGGATCGGCATGGCATGGAAACGTGGCCGTACACAGTGCAGACTGGAGCGTATAGTGCACACAGGAACATCCTCAGATCAGCACTGCACACCAGGTTTACCATTGGATGAAAAGGCTTTGGAGGAGAAAAAGAACAAAAAATGCATAAATAAAATGTCGACACCAATATTTTTATCTATGCAAAGCTCTATGACATAAAAACACTGACTGTGCAAAGTAAATGATAAGTGATATCCTACTCTCAGAGCAATACCTCTAAACACTGACATTTTGTGCTGCTGGTATTCAACACTAAAGTCAGTGTTAATCAGCATGAAAAGCTTGTTATTAAACATGACGTGTATGTGGATGATCCTAACACACATGCAGTGTCTTATAAATATACATTTACACACAGGCTCAGGACGTTAAATGCTATCGGCAGCACACACGAGAAGGCTCATATTTAGCCAGAAATAGACATCAAAGGGCATGGAGGGAAAGTGAGAAGGATAGCAAATAATCTTTCAGATGCAACTTACACTACTACTCAGTATTTCATCAGCAGTTAGAGGCTTATGAAATATGTACAGCTGCAATCATATTACCACAGATCTCTTTGATGGTGGGGACAGCAAAGGCAGACTACTGAAGGCTGGAGCTACAGCCATTTGTCAGTAAAATGAGCAAACAAACAGCAGGGCTTTTCACACATGGGAGATTATATACCCTGTTCCCTGTAGGGACAGACTTAACGGTTTAAGGATGACTTTTGACCTTCATGGTGCTGTTAGAAGATCTCAAAACAAATTACAAGGAAAATTTAACTCATACTTACTTATTACTTGCATATTAAAACAATCACATTATAACTTGTGCACTCAATACTATTTCACTGATGCACTCATAAGTTTTAATAACATTGTGCTTGACACTTGCTTGACAGCACATAACACTGCATTGTGCATATGCGTAAAGGAAAAAATGTGTTTGTGCGACACAAAACAGTAAATTTACATTGATTGCTTATCATAACAACTACAGTGCATCCTCATATAGAGAGCATTTGTGAAAATATCCATGCACCAGTAAATGCGAGTGTGTGCTTTATGCTCATTTCTGTGTGAGGTCAGGCCTTACGAGTATGTTTTGATCGTTCTCAATTGCCGTGTTCTAGATCTGCACACTGGAGATGTTCCACCAGTAAATGGATGCAGTGGTGCATGAGACGTGTGACACAGTTTTGCGTATTGCACAAAGACAAATGTGAGTGTGTGCACACGCCACCACTCAACTTCATGAATTTTGCAACCAATGCTTCTTTTTCTTTTCTTTTTAAAAAAAATCTATTTAATGAGCAGCATGCATTGTGCCCAATGGTATGAAAACTGATCTAGAAAAATGATCCTTTTATTTGGCTGTAATAATATTTAAGAAATTCTCACATAATCTTGCCTCTTCAGTGTTTTCTAAAATGATTCAGGAGCCATACAGGAGCACACACTTCTGTTTGAATAGTGTGCAAACCTCAAGACATGATGGGGAAGTCCAGAGTGAAGGCTCGGCTAAATATCTAACCAATCAAATATGTCCAGCCAGTGGAAATATAGGAACTGGATTTTAGTTGTGCTGTTTATTTCCAATGCTAAGGACATTGTATGATGTTACCAGGATTAATCAATAAATTATAGACAGATTTGTATACAAATTGCATCTACCAAACTACACATCAGACTGAAGGCAGAACTATTAGGAGATGTTCTTATTCTAAAATGAAAAAAAAGTATTTATCACACCTTTAAGTTCACCACACTGGAATAAAAGGGTTAGGTGCAAATAATTAGAACCTGGCAGACAATTTAAGATACAGTAATTCTTTGTGTAAAACGAAAAATCTCCAAGAAAGCCAAAAACATGATCACAGGATCAGCAGGCATCTCTTGAAACTGTTGGAGTCAAAGTGCATGAACATTCAGCCAGAGGGAGATTGCACCAATTTCACCTGCCTGGGAGGGGTACCATGCCTCAGCTGTGTGATATTAGACAGCACATGAGTATCACTTCAGCAGTTTTGTGTTTACAGCAATCAAACGGATTAATATACAATTTACAAAAATAATTATGACACACACTTGCATCCTCTACATTGAGATGTCGTAAAAACACACACACACACACACACACACACACACACACACACACACTTGTATTTGCAACTTGCAAGTGGTAACTTTACCTGCAAAAATTTCTAGGCCTTAAAAGGAGGATATGAAGTTTAATGACTGTGTGAGAGCGTTCAATTTCTTTCTTGCACTGCGTTTAAAAACAAACCCCCCCCCCCCCCAAAACCACAGTACATATGTTCAGGTGGTGCCAGCTGAAACTGGAGAGTTTCAAGTGTCTGACATGAGTCATGTTCACTGCAAGGATTTTACTCAGAAATAAGATGTTATTTGAGATAGTGATATAATGGATTGACACTCTTCTAAAATTCTTTAACGCCATCTAATGCTATCTCCGATGTTAACTGATAATAATGACAGTGTTAACAGGTATCCTTATTAATGTAGCAAAACATCTATTCATGCTTAATATAGAAGACAGACAAACAAGACAAGCTGTAACTGTCAGCAGCTTAAAACCTCTCCCTCACTTCTGCAGTTGGAGATGTAGCGACTGCAAAAAACAGTTCAGGATTTGATTCGGCTCATATGGTACTGTGGCTCACTGCCACAAATATCACTGCTAATTTGAATGTTTATGATAAGTGTTCTGTGATGTGAGTACGCCAAGTACGCTGTAAATTCCTCAAATGAATTTTTAAATTTACTTGAATGTATCACTTCACCATTTGCGTTCTCCGTTTCTGTACTGGTGCACTCTTTCAGTAAAGTGCAGCATAATTCTTTCCAAGCCATTAAAAAAAAAAAAAACCAAATAAAATCTGAAAGTGTTCTGGTCCTCAGTTTCAACTCCCACCTCACTCAGCGAGCCTAAGGCCACACTTAGACGACGAGTATCTGCTTTCTGCATGAGTGTGTGTCTGACTGCATGGGCGACTGGAGGCTTTCTTCTCCTCATACTAATTCTACAGCAAATGTGTGTGCAACTCCTTTTCTACATGTCCCCATTCTGCCCATTTTGCCAGTGCGTGTGTGTATGTGTCAGTGTTCTTGTATTTAGCCTATGTCCCACTTATTGCGTTTCCAGTGTGTGTGCTTATGCTAGGCTTGCGTGCCTGAAAAAGTCAGCGTGTGTGTGTGCACAACTATTTTGGCAGTCAGGGCAATTGCCCCCACATCTCCTACCACAAAGAGAATATTGATATTAAGTGGTCTAACTGTGCCACCCAGCAAGAGAGAAGGGGGATGGCAATCAGCCTTCCATGGTGGGCAACTTGAGTGAATTGCTTGGCATTTTGTGTGTCAGTTGTGATGGAGGAACAGGGAAAGGAAAGTAGAATAGCCCACAAATCTGCCTTGGGGGAGAGGACAGCCTATTAAGACATGGAAAGATGTGGAAGAATGAGTAGGGTGGGGAAAAGAGGATACAACCATTGCAGTGAATCTGCTTCCTGCATTGTTTTATTTATTTTAGTCTATAGTGGAAGGATGATGAAGCAAGAATAAAGTCACACTATTAAGAAAACAGGTACCTACCTTTAAAAAAAACAAAACACGAAAAACAAAGTAAATGTACAATGCACCTCCATTGAAATCTGCAGTATACCAGCATATAGTCTTATCCATTACATATCCCAGTTAGCTAAGTTATTGAGATATCACAAATAAACTAACAGTTGCAGTCCAATACTTTAGAAAAGCAGATTATTTAGACTACCGTACTGCCAGTAAATTTGCTGGGAAATATGCAATTTAATGCATACAAACATACCATCCACGAGTGAGCAAGCACTCTGTGCAACAGACTGCTGTCTGCAGCTGCTGGAAAAATGCTGACGTCATTTAAAAATCTAAAGAGTTTGTGGTGTCCTTTTTTAATCTATTTTTTCTATATATATATTTTATATGTTTCCTTTCATTTTGTTTTTATATCCTTAAATGGCAGCTATATGTCAATCCTTAGTAGCACACCTACTGGAAAACAAATTTGTGAAAACTCTGGCATTACCACCATTTCCGAATGGATTCTAAAATGCAGTCCGACCTTAGATAACTGAGCCACAATTACAGAAAACATAATGTGACAAACTCATTTAACAGCCACTCTCACACAGGGACAAAGACACACACAGTACAAGATACAAAAACAAAATGTTCCCTGTAGCTGCTTCACAGACAACAAGCACGAGGAATTTTGAATCATTCCTCCCCCACAAAACTGTTTTAGTTCATCATGTCTCAATTAAGCTGCACTATTTAGGTCATCCAGCAGCATCGTAATTGGTTTTAGGTCATTGCTTTAGCCTGGGTACTCCAAAATATTAATTATCTTTGTCAATCATTGTGTCGATTTAGTTGTGTACTTTGAATAATTGTTTTTTTTGCATCACACAATCTCTCCTAAGCTTCATACACTGTCATACACATCATACACTGGTGCCCTGACTCTCCCCTGTAAAACGTCTGGATACAATTTTAAATTGCTGTTCCTTTAGACTCTGACCTTGACACTCCTTTCATAATGCTTCACTGTCAGCAGGAGGTGTTGTTCATAATGTGCATTGGATTTTTTCCTCCAAGCACAGCACTGCGCATTTCAGTTCTACTTCTTTGGTTTGCTTTGTGGGATAGCAGTCATTTCCTTTATGCTGTCTTTCCATTAAAATCAATCCTATTATTCAGTGTCTTTTCTTATAGACAACAGGAACAAAGGTTTCTGTAGATGTCAATGCAGGTGTTTTTCTGTCACCTTAGGGTAACCTCATTTGGAAGCAACGCTCCTGCAGTTTGCTATTTGCAGTTTGTCCTTTGCTAGGGTTTATTAACATCCAGGTATTTAAAAATATTTCCTGATATTTTCTCTTTTTTTTTAAATTGTTATGTAACCTCACAATGCTGCTTCTTTAAACGTTGTGATCAAGACACCCTTTTTATGAAAAGAGCAGATACATTTAAGTATTGACTTTCTTTCCAGCCCTCAATGTGAGGGAAAAAACAAACAAACAAACAAACA